AAAAGCCATTTATATTGAAATCCATGCAACTTGGACTGTATAGTCGATCTTAGTACCCCATGTTTCCGCGGAATTTTTCTTTCCTAAGTCTTACTTCGGGTTTCCCTAACCAAATAGGCCCTAAACATAAAACATGTATAACATTCTCATCAATTTTCATACCATGATATCTGTACAAAACTTGTATGTGGAAAATGAATTATCTCCATCCACATGTGTTTATTCAACATTAACACAAAAGAATAAAGAATTAGAGAATAAGGAATTTCTAAGGAGATTAATCTTTCTTCAAAACGATCTCTTGAGATTCTTGAAATCCACAGAGTCGATGCATTCCAAGCCAGCCCTGTAAGGATTCAACAGCTTCAAAAGCTCAGTCGCCTTCTCCTTCGTGTCATCCCCACATCCAACCTGTAAGAGCAGCAACAGCTTCTGAAATACACCAACTTGAAGCGCTTCGATCAAAACCCTCCCTTCGAATTTCGTTTCGAGTTTGCTGAGTTTCCATATTGTCGAAACAGAGTAATCTGTTGCCAGTTCTGATACCCTCAGAATTTTCTTAACCAAAACAGGGATTGTTAGGGCATTCTCGTATGCTTCTTCCCTCCCTTCTTTGGTATGGCAGAGTTCATGGAGAACACCTAAGGCCTTCTCGCACATGCTCTTCTCGGATTCCATGATGATTTCCAGGACGGGAGAAACCAAACCCATTTTAACGAATTCGGATTTGATCTTTTCATGTGGAGAAGAAACCAAATGGAAGATTACTGTGAGGGATGCTTTTGTGATTGAAGGAGAAATGGGGTCTTTGATGAACTTGAATAGGATCTCTTTGGCTTCATCAATGGCAGCCAGCGATTCTGCAAATTGCTGGTCTGAGCAGAGGACCTCTTTCAGGGCAATCATGGCGTTCTGTTTCGCTGAAACATCCCTGCATTTCAGAAGCCACACCAGGGAACATAAAGACGAATGCGATCCCAAGTTCGTCATGGATTCCACATCGAGAGGGTACATCCAGTTCATCACTGAAAGAATCTCTTCCAGCAAATTGGCGTTTTTCTCAAACGAGTCGGTTGCGAATGCATGAAATGCGGCGGTAAGGACCGGTACCGTCCCATTTTCTGCAATGCAGCGGCGGTTTCTTTCGCTCTCCACGCCCCAATTCTTGATTTTCTCCACAGATTCCAGACAACCCACTTGATCCAATCGGTTGTTGGACGCCGTAATTTCGAGCAGAATCTCGGAGACCTCAACAGAGTCGACGGGAATTCTGGGAGTGGGGATCCGTTCTACACCGTAATTCCGATTTTCGACGCACCATTCTTGAATCATCTTCCTGAGAGTATGATTGGGTATCTGATCGAAACTTCTGAGCACCTGTTCCGTAACAGGGCAGGTGAAATTGCCAGCCTCAAGCCACGTTTCGATGCTTTCTCGATCATACGTGACCCCAGAAGACAATGTTACCGGATCTTTCATGAGATCGAGGGATATCGGGCACCGGAAATGCTTTGGTATCTCAAGCTGCTTCTCATGGCTGCCATCCTGTTTCTTTCCTTTTGCTTTCCTTCTTCTCCAACCAAACATTGTTATTGAGGGATTGAGAGTACTAATTAATCCAAGAAAGAAATCAAACTCAGAAGAAGTGTAGGATTTGTAGGTGAAATTTGATGGGGGAGAGGATTTGGTTGGGGTTTATATAATGTGTTGAACCGCTCTCTGCACACGGTTTTGAAACTGTACAATGAATAGAAGAAAAGTTTTTCGTGGGTTTAGGGGGAATTGGATTTGACCATTGAAATATTGAAGGGGTTCAAGTCTAGTCTAACGGTCCAGGAGGAAATGGTAAAAGAGGAGAATTTTCAGGTGAAATTTCTACAATATTCTCATGACACCATGTCAACCGATGCTTTTTTTTTTAATTTATTTTTAAAATTTTTAAATTGTACAATGAGAAATAATTTTCTTTTTATCTTTTCACCACCCCATCAACATGTTATAAATTTTAAATTCCAAACTTTATTATTTTTATTAAAAAAATTATTATTACACTACTTAAATCATAAGTAATTGATGTAAGTGTTATAGTTTTCTTTGACAGTAAAAATTTGATGCCTCTGCGTCTCATATTGAGCTGTTATGCTAATCAATGTGTGAAATATAAATTTGTATAAGA